AAGGCACCTCCACGCTGCGGCCTTTCACGCTCTCTGTGTGTGTCGCTGCTCACAAGAACACTCTTTCGGCGTACTTCGGGGAATCCATGTTGAGAAGCTGTGTGGACTTGCTGTGGACTTGCCCCCAGGCTTGAATGCCGATCCGTAGCCGATGGACTCGAGTTCCGCACGAGTCAGAATCGATGACAATGTATCCATGGTCTGAGCTTTAAATAGCGATATGCCGGTAAAGAGCTCGAGGGGTCGCCCAACAAATGTGAAATCGGTGAGATCCTTTGTTCCTCCAGCAAAGAATTCCTCCGAATGACTTCACCGGGATTACGGGAAAAGAGATAAAGGAGGAGGGAGAGCATGGTGGTTCCAATTGGTTCTGAGTCGGTGAATTGCCACAAATGGCAACATCCGAACGCATCAGCACCAAAACACCCCGTCTACGGAGAAAATACGTACACCCCCAACAACATCGCACCTAAACGCCCCACACGCGCGCGCGGCCCACATTTTAAATTTGGCGTGTTCTTCTTCATGTTCTTGCCCTCCTTCGTCTTGTTCTGTGCGTACTTGGTCCTCGCCCTACGCACGAAATCAGCCTCCACCCTTCCCTTCCGCGAAAAACAAAGCGGAATACGTACAGGCAGAGCATCCTCTTCGTACATCGGCGCAGACGTAGACCCAGCAGAAAGACTCTCGAGGTACGCTCCCATGCGCGGGGAAGGTTGGGCAGCGGGGCGTGTCCGGATTCGGTTCTGGACCTGGTTCTGCCAAGGGAGTAGGAGAAGTAGTAGATGTAGAGGTAGAGGTAGAGGAGGGGTCTGCAAGGGTGGAGATAGGAGATGCGGAGGCGGAGGCGGAGGCAGAGGCAGAAGTAGAATTGCAAGCGGAAGCGGGGGTAGAAGTAGCAGTAGGAGAAGTAGGCGAGGTCGGAGAGGAGAAGGCAGAAGTGGCCATGTTTGCGGTAGAGGTAGGAGTAGGACATGTGGCGCTAGACGTCGAAGTAGGAATAGACGTGCTCCAGACAGATGCAGCTGCAGGCATACTCGCCCCCTCCGCATCCACATCATCTTCAGCAGTAGAATAAGAATCAACACTCGCACACGCAACCCGCACCGCGCGCGCGAGCGCGACGACGCAGTCCTGGCACAGCTGGCACCAGAAGTTGCGCAGGAAGACTACGAGCGTGCACTGGCGCTTGGGGCTCTCCCTTCTTACACCATTTGCGCCCACACCTACGCGGCGTCACAGGTGCAGAGGACTGCACGGCGGCGGGTGTAGTGTTGCGCGGACGACGTGGGCGGGCGAGTATGCGGTGGGCGTGGGCTCGAGTGGTGGGGTGGCGAGGAGGGCGGCGTCGTCGGGGTCGACGACGGGGGCGGGCTTGCGGCGGATGCGGGCTGTGGACGCCATGAGTGCAGGAGGCAGCCAGCGAGTCGAAGGGGCGTCAAGCGAATAAAAAGTTTGGCTTCAGGCTTGAGCTGCTTGCTGCAACGCGGTTTAAGGAGCAGGCCACACGTGTCCGCCGCCTGCTTCGCTGTACCCATACAATCCCACAGATTCCCTTGAAATACTTTTATCTTGCTGCTTTCTTGGTTTGCTGGTGGGGTATGCATCTGCGCGTCCGAGTCGAACAAGCAATAAGTATGTCGCGGAAGGGTGAGATTTTGTATCGGCAACTAGACTGGTTCCCGCCCTCTCAACGCCCATGTTCTTCCAACTCCGAGTCGTCGGCCACCCCTGGCTCTGTTAGCCTCATCAACCATCTGCCAGCGTCGCCGCTGCTCACCGCCTTGCTCGCTGTTCGCTGTGCTCTCCCGAGGGAAATCCCGCATCCGGTCCTGGCAGTGACGCCGGCGCCACTAATGAACGCATCTAACCGTCTTCGTTAAAAACTTTATCGCGCCAGCTGGCATGATTTGTATCCCTCGGTACCGTGGTCCTTCGTTACCCATATATCATCCCTCCGCTCCCTCCCATGTCTCTGCGCTCGTTAAATCAAGTTCCTCTAGGGTAGATGCCTGCAACTCAGCTTTCTTCGTGATTGTGCCAGCCAGTGAGTCACTCTCAAATTTGCCTCGTCTCCTTGATACATATCTTGGATTTAATCCAATGACTTCACCCACCGACATCTTGCTCTCCCATGTCTCTGCCTTCATCAATCGAAGTCTCTAGCGGTTAGATGCCCTCAACTGAGCTGTCTTCTTAATTTCACAGCTCACACGCCCGACTCTCCGAGTTGATATGAATCCCACTCGTCCCCCCCGATAAAATCCGGACTCGTTTATAATCAGCCCAGCTATTTATGACTGATAAAACTGGATGTCCACTCTACCCACGACCATCTTAATTCCCCTCAGGCCTCCCAGGCGGCCTCGTTAATTCCCCTCGCTCCAAGACACTTAATTGCGGCTCTGTTGCTACGCCTCCGACAAAGTCAGTCTATTTGAAACTGGCAGCCTACGCCTCCCCTTCAAATTCCAAGACAACGAATGGTTCCTCTTTCCCTTTAAACCTCTCTCCATACTGTTCCGCAACCCAACTCTCTCTCTCTCTACTAATAGCTCTCCACAATCGACAATGCACATGTACCGTACCCCAGTTTTCCCTATACACTATATGATACATGCTTGTACCTCATACAAATACGATACGTCTTTCTACATGACAGCAAATAGCTCTCGAACAAAATGAAGAAGCCCGCACAAAAACAGAACTGCTTACAAGACCAATCACCCGACCCCGAATCGAACAGGACCCTTCTGCATAACCTGGATGGAAACATTACTATTTGAGACCAGTTAGTTGGCCACTTAAGCATTTATGCCGCAGCCCTGGTGTTATACCTGTGCCGATGCGAGCCAAACTATATCAGAATGAGGGCATTCATCCTACGAAGAGTTCGAGTCCGCCAGCACCGAAATACTCGAAGATTTGAGTGCGTAAGGAATTTATTTTGACCGGCAGTCCAACATAGCCAAACAACAGGTTAGTTGGCCACCCCGCCAACTAACATATTGAGCTCTCAAATGGCAGTGGCCTGCACCCAGAATCATATATACAGGTTATATTCACTATTTAAAACAGTTATGGTATAGATATGAGGTATAGAAATAGGCAGAATACATGCTTGCGATCGACGGGAAACCTCGAAATTAGGGTCGCGGGATGAATGAGTGTTCTGCTACTCAGAAGCAGGCCACGATGGGCCAAATTACGATTCAGGCTACTTAATGGGAAGTATTTGGACGTACCTGGATGCCCAACTCCATTTCAAGTTGCTGACATCTCCTCCAAAAAATCCGACTATCAGCACGACTGAAATTTGGTGATTTTGGACAATGGCCTCCAGAGCAATCAGAGGTCATTGGATAAAATCTCGAAAAGGGTCTCGGAATGAAGGATTGTATATTAAGAAGTCCTGTGTAAGGTTCCAGACCGATGGCATGGCGATGTCGTGGACCGCGACGGTGCCAGCATAACTGGCCTACAAATGAAGTCGTGCTTTTCCCGGGTGTATTAAGAGCGATAGTTGAGTCAGTTGCCATCCAGTATCTCTTCAGATGGAAGGCCAGCATCGGGGGATCCAAACGAGCCACCAAAGTCGTGGATCGAAGAAGAAATGGTGGAGAAATGGCGATGGCAAATGAGGCGAGAGGTCTGATTGATAAGAAATTGATGTCCCCGCGCTTCGGATCCCGATCCGCGATGCCGTAGCTCCCGATCAACCCATCACTTTTGGCTGAAATTTGGTCTGAACATTCGTTGGAGGTCGTATTCTGTTTATACATTATGCCCTGTCATAATTATGAAGCCCTGGTCTTATAGGAGTCAAGTGGCCAACTAAGGGGTCTCTAATAGTACATGTCCTGCAGATGCACACCTTGTGCCACCGGGTGCTTCTTCTGCACACCCCACTTGTAATTTATCTCGGTTGAAAATGGAGGTTGATAAAACAAAACGAAAAAGGTTATCGAAAGCATTCTAATCACCCGACCCCGAATTGAACGCGGCCCCTCTGCTCAATGTACCAAAGCTCTTTAAAGGATAGTAGATGCACACCTTGTGCCATCGGGGGCGTTCCCCAAAGGCCCAATTCATGTGCTACATAGGTAACGAAAAAAAATCGAGGTCGAATTTCAGAAACAGGAAAATGGTCCCTGAAAGACAATCACCCGACCCCGAATCGAACGGGGACCCTCTGCATAAATGCTTTAGCTACAGCTTCCCCAAGCGTAACAGATGCACACCTTGTGCCGCCAGGTGCTTGCTCTCTATCCCCAATCTCAGACTAAGACACTCTTCCGAGATCCAAGCTGGCTTTACTTGAACTTAAAATCAAAGCAACCCGGCCCACAACTTGAACTCCACAGATCCACAGACCTAGTATGAGCCTCTTCGTCCTAAATATTAGAATCCTGGGGTTTAAATCACCGGTGAAAGCGAGTTCTCACTGAAAGAAAAAGAAAAAACGAGGGAGGGAAATTGAAACTGAAAAGGAAAGGGTAAAGGTCAATCACCCGACCCCGAATCGAACGGGACCCTTGGGCTTGAAACACACTGTGCCTGGAGTAAATCTATGGTCTACAGCCCCCCAATGTCTTACATCGGTTGAGCTCCAAAGAGGAAAAAAAGAAGAGTTGAACCAGAATCACCCGACCCCGGATCAAACGGGGACCTTCTGCTAAACCTCGCAGCAATACTTATGTATGAAGGGTAGCAGATGCACACCTTGTGCCATCGGGTGGATGTTCTACACCCCCAATCTCAAACTAAACACAATTTCCGGGATCTCCAGTGGCCTTGAAGCTTTGAAGTTGAAAATCAAATCACCTCCGGCCTGGACCCCAAATCCACAAATCAGCACTGGGTAGCGTCTTCGCTCATCCGGGAGTCATCCCTATTATATTAGAATCTTTGGTTGAGTTCACCGGCGAAAACAAACTCCCAGTGAAAGCAGAAGAGAACCTGATGAAGGAAACTGAAAAAAAAGAAAAGCTACAGATCCATCACCCGACCCCGAATCGAACGGGGACCTTCTGCTTAAAGCTTCGTGACCTCCTGAAGAACAAAAAACGCACACCTTGTGCCATCGGGTACATGCTCTGCAGGCCAATATTATTGATTAAATCCATACGACAACTTACAAAAGCCTGCCCGAGTCATCAAACTCAACTTCGAAAGTTTGATTGAGGCGCGGCGATGGAGTCGGGGGAAGTTGGAAGTTGGAATGCACTCTTGATAAAAAGAATCTGGATCAGTTGATCTCGCTGAGCACTAAGGATGGTCTTCTCAGACATGGAGCTCGGTGAGTCAGAGTCTGGTGAGAGTTGTGGTTGAAGCAAAAGCATTGACTCGGAACTGGGCGTTGATCCGAACTCGGCATGAGATGTGTCACCATCTTTTGAACGCACGCTCCCAGTCTACCCACAGTCTCGACTCGACTGCCTCCGAATTGATGCTTGGCGCTCAGCGCCCCCGGTCTAAAATGGCTCAAGAGATCAAACACTTGAACTGGAAGCTCCCCGCCGCCCCGGTCATGGTCCCGATCCTGCCTCTGCAGGTACGATACAACCGCACCCGACTACTGGGATAGTTACAGATGTGTACCGCTAATTACGTAGGATGGAACTTCGCTTCGTTGGACAACGGGGCACAACTGCAGCGGAGGCGGCTCACGGAATCAGTCCGCCCTCGCGACTAGCTGGTGACCCCGCGTTCAGGCCGTAAATTGAGTCGTTCGAGAGCCCACCAACGCCTATCTAAAGTCTTATCTTCTTTACCTGATTTTCTGTTCTTTCTGCCCCTTCTCGAGCGCTCCTGGCCGCATGGGACGTGCATACAGAATACGCGATACGATCGGCATCTGCCGAGAGAAATTTCCCACGGTTCTCCGAGTCGGTTCGATTCCCAACAAATGAGCGCTGTAGCGTTTGTCTCCCTTCCTTCCTTACAGCGGGTCCTTGATTTTCTTCGTTGTGCGTGCAGAAATCCAGTGCATTGTGATCCGCTCGACGGAGATGTCCAACGCCTCGGAGTCAACCGGCGGCCCACGGACGAAAAGTGAGAAGAAAGTACGAGTGATCGCAAATTCCAACGGGTACTGGCATACAGCTTGGAGAGAGAGGTACTACGAGCTGGCTGTTGGCCCGTTGCGAGATTGCCGCGAGCGTTCGAGAAGATGTACGAGAGGTTAGTGTGGCTCCTCCAAAACGACCGTCTAGTCCGCGAATTCATCGGAGAAGTTGAATCACTGCCGCCGAAATAATATTTGCTCCGAAATAATGGAATCGGACTAGAGATTGAGCGTTACCAGGCTTGTACCCGGTGTGGGAGAAGTTTGGATCCGCGCAGACGAACAATTCATTCATCAGTCGCCAAGCGGCGCCAAGGACTTTTTTCTGAATTTCTTCCGTAAGTTCTGGAGCATCCGGCAACCATACAGTGCCATCAGATCCACGATGTCGATCTTCGAAGTTTTCGGAGAATGCCGATCACGCCTCTGTGTGTTCGTTCCTGCCACTGCTGCATCAGTTTGCTTGCCGTTACTGCTTCAACCTTCTAAAAAACACAAGCTGGCATTGTGCTACAGAGCGTACAAGTAACCTTGGCCGCCAAAATATTTTTACGGGGTGGATGTAGTCACAGGATGCCCTTATACGCAGCGCTTCAGCGCTGCTCATGCGGCACAATTGCGTCCCCGACTCCACCAAAGGTTTCTCACCTCATAGCGCCCACTGCCATCGGTTGTTTGCTTCGTTAATCTCCGGTACAGCTAACACGTAGTAAGTTACAGCCCTCACAGCGCCATCGGTGGCACTGCTCCTTATCATATGTGAGTGCAAAATCTGTGGTTCGCAGCAAAGGAAAACGTCGGGGAGCAGTGCGTTGGTTTTGATAAGGGTACGAGAGGGTACGTACGAGGTCCAATACCCAGGCTTTCACCAAAGGCCAGAGGAAGAGGAGCAGTTTTCACAGTAGGATGTTTACCATGATTCGTTTTTCTTTCCTTTTTACCGCCGATTTCTCCCTGCGCAGTGCGAATAAGCCGGGATTTGAATTCGGGTCATAATTCAAATGGAGATACTAGGGAGATCTTCGTTTCGACGGACTCTTCGGTCACGTTTGTCATCACCGCCTAAACGGGCGCGTTCATTGGAATTTATAAATGGCCGGCTCCCAAAGCATAGTACGTCCTATTCACCAGATCCATCCCCAATGAAACCCACTAAATGATTTCTAAATCCAAGACTGCTACTTGCACCTTGTGTCGCCGACGGAAACTCGTGTGTGGTATCCCATAACGACAGATTGATGAACTCACCTATCGTAGCGCTGCGATGGTGGCGATCCCTGTGGTCACTGCTCACGAACCAGGACACCGGTGATCTGCACGTATGTCCCAAAAACAATTGGTCAACTTCGCTCGGAATTGCCCAAAGGCGGAGCATGTGTGCGCACATTTTATTGTTCTCCATATCGTCTCCTTCAACTTTCTCTTGCAGATTTCCTGTCGGTACGGGCCTGCAATCCGATCCATTTTCGACCTAACAATTTCTCAATGTATTTAGACAGAGAAAGCGGGTGAGTCCAGTGCAAAGACATTTCGTGTCCTCGCTAATTATCATTTCAGAGGTGCGACGGTAATTTGCCATGCCAGACATGCAAGCAAACATTGCGGGCCCACGAATGTCAGTATCGTGCCAAGGACCCGTTGAAACTTGATTCTTCGACACCCAATCCGTTGAAACCCACGCGAGGCAAAAATCATATTTCATCCGACTCTACGAGCACCTTCTCCTCCTCCACCATCTCCTCTCGCTCGAAAACTCCGTCACAGTGCACAACTCACCATCCAGGGGCCTTAATATTGTACGACGATTACATTGACCCCGACGACATCTTCGATCCCCTTTTCCCGTGGCCCGATTTATCCTGCGCGTCAACAGAGACGTTGTACGCCTTGCCCACGTTCCTCGATTCTATATCCGTGCCGTTTTCGACTCTCGATTCCATGTCCCAGGATGCCAAACTTCTCTCATTGTCAGTCCTCCTCCTCAACGACTCAGAAAACTTTGTTTGACACCTTTCCTAGGCGAAACCTGTTTTTAGAGCACGGGTGGAAATACGGCCTTAACGTGACTACGGCGAAGCGCCAGGCATTATCCGCCGGCGATTCATCGATCGTTGACCCAATTCTAGTCAATGTATGCGAGTTGATGGGATACCTCGTCCACCACCACTTGCATCCTGAGGGGTGGCTTTCCAACAATAGCCAGACGACAGCGGAAGCCGAACTCTATCTGTCGATTTGCGACAAGCTCGAAGGCGCCCCTGATCTGGTACTGGATCCTTTGCTATGTCTGCAGGCATATACGGTGCTGGTCCTCTACTGTGTCCAGAAGGAGGATATACGCGGCGGGGAGGAATTCCTTGTTAAAGCCAGCAAAGTTGTTGGTCGACACGCGGCTACACTTGGCTTGGAAGATGCCCTCGCCCTGGATTGGTGTCCCGTGTTCGACGAGTCATACCTCTCTCCGCGCAGCGTCGCCGAGGAAGTCAGAGCCGCATTTTCCCAGATTATATACCTTGACGCCTGCTGTCGCGTCATTCTCAGATCCGAGTTAGTCATCCCCCCCAGACAGCTGGAAACATTCCGACAACTAGTGGCAAGTTGAATAGTATTTGTTGAAGAATTCTCAGCTCATTTTTTCGCAGGTCGTACATGGGTCAGATACAGAGCTGAATTTAATGCGGGCGAAGAGCACTCTCTTTCTTGCGGACAGCCAGCAATTGGTCGAAGAGTGGAATCGATGTGAGTTGGGAGTATTAATATTTATCGATGAAAACTAATCTGTTTATCCAGGTGTGGGCCCTGCACCGTCGGCCTGGTCTAAACGCTACTGGAAGTTGATCGAGGACATTCACGCTCATATCAACTTCATAAACACGGCGTTGGTGGACTTGTCCTGCATCCCAGAGCTCCAAGGTGCCCAGCCAAGTGTGAAGATTTGTATTTTGCTGGCAATGGCCGCCCTCGCGGAAGCTTACGGTTTGTTTGCGCCGTCTCACCTTGAATTGCGCCAGAAGCATCGAGAAGCAGTGACGGGGATCACCACCATCACAAAGAGTTTTTCGGACGCGGATTATCCGTACCTCGATCCGACAGTAGGTGTACGCAACTCCTTTGTGACTTTAATGAGCTCGGCTGATACGAGGAGTCCTAGGTTTGCTGGTCCATTGCGTCTCGGAAGTTATATGAAGACACGCCCGTTGAGGGCGACCTTCGCTTCGGGACACAGCTCGACGAGTGCTGCCGAAAGCTGCGACAAGCGAGCCCCTACGCGCCCCCGCCATGAACGTTGAACTACATACCCATCAGAGTGATGTTTTCTTCAATGTTCTATCGCTCGATGTTCTCTCCCTGATCCTTTTCATGCTTCATACTGCTTCTCATACATTAAATGATGTAATCCATAGATACCCTCTTTCTCTGGCCTTTTTCGCCTAGTGATACTTGAACCGGTCAGTAGGAGACGTGTGTAATTTGTGCCATCCAGTGAGCATAGAGCATTTCCAAATACTTAGAAGTTGAGCGAATCTTACGGTTTTCGAACCGTGGGAAGTCTCAGCCAATGTCGATGAGATTCAAGTTCCAAGCTTTCCACCAACGAGTTCTTGACGGGCCGAGGCATGTGCCAGCTAGAAACTTGCTGTCGGAGCGTGAAGTGGCCCCCATAATTAAACAGTATGGGCTTGAAGGCCGAACAGCGAACGAGTTGGCGGCTGTCCGCTTTTTATTATATGGGTGCAGTGGCGGCGGCCTATGTGTACCGCCACGTAAGGAATGTTTGGTACTGTAACGAATGCGTATATGCACAAAATTCCGGCCAGCCACACCATAACCTAGCTACTTTGTGGTACTTAGATAAATAAATAAAACGGCCTCTCTACTCGACGCACCAGGTGCGAGTAAGATGTGTATCTCTACGCCTTAACGCGTCTCCGGATGAGCATTTCTGCCGCTCTGGGTACGACGAGCATGTCTATGAAAGATCATCAGCACGGAGACTTCGGCACATCGACGGACGAGACGACG